AGAAGGAATTGTTTGCAGATATTTGGTGGTTATGGTGTGTTACATTTTAAATTTTGTTTGAAATATTTCTTCGTTTTCTCCTCGTGTTTTACGTTCTCCTCCTTCCGTCTTTTTCCTGCATAAATGTTCGTGTTTTCATATATCATATGTTTCCTTTCCCAAATCTGTGCGTTTGTTTCTCCACCTTCACAATTCTATTACTTTTGTTTTTCCTCTTCTCTTCTCTTGCATCTCACTTTCCTCCTGTTTCATTGCGTCTATTTTCCTCCTCTATTCTAGTTTCTCTTTTCCTCTTCCTCTCTTCTTTTTTTCCTCTGTTGTTTCTATTTTTCGTCTTCGATTATATTGTCTGTTTTCTTCCTCGATTCCATAGTCTATTTTATCTTCTATTCCAGTGTGTTTATTTTCCCTCTCTATTTTGTCCATTTCCTACCGCCATGCCTTTGTCTATTTTCTCTCCTTTATTCTATTGCGTCTTTTTCCTCTTCTTTATTGTTTATTCTACCCTCCTCTATACTTTTTCCTTTTTTATTATATTGCTTAATTTTCCCTTCTTCTCTATTATGTTGCGACTGTTCTTCATCCGTTGTCATAATGCGCCTGCCGTTGCTTTTCTATTCTGTTGCGTCTATTTTTTTGTTTCTTTTTGTCTAATTTCCTCTTCTATTTTGTTTCATCCAATTGTCCTCCTCTGTTTTATTGCGTCCAATTTCCTCCTATTCTATTGTATCCGTTTCTCTTCTATTCTATTGTGCCACTTTTCCTGTATTCTTTGCAACTTATGCCAAGTGACCCACGTGACCTATCATAAGTCATCTTGCATAAAGCGTGAGTGTTTGCGTTTATGATTTGCTGTTCAATTGCCTGCATAATTTGTTGGTCAATTACCGTAGAGTAATTGAACAACAAGTGTTTTCCACTGTTTGTTTCAGCTATCGTTTTATTATGCTTTGTTGTCTGTGATAATCATTTCATCTGTGAACATTATAGGTATATTATTAATATGATACTAGTATACAGAATATAACGATTCGCAGAACTGCAAATATCTGAGATAACATTGCAATGCGAAGAATCCTAGCAGCCTATTTCAGCCCTTTAGAAAGGACTCCACATGTCAGGAATTTCAACACGGTATTACCAGCGTATTTTTGCAGCTTCCTCCACAATGCCTTTGTTATTGTTCCCCACCGCCATCACCACGGCGAAGGAACACCAGCACAGCGCGTCATGCCCAAGACGCCACCAGGCACCTCTTCCGCTCGCCATGCACGGCCAACAGCAATTCATGGCTCTATTTATAACGGCATGGACAATAAGCCATTCATGCGACCGGACAAAATTTTGCATTGTTCCCGTTTTCATTGCAGAGTGTTACCAGCCCGGCGAGGCTCCCTGGCGACGGCGCAGCGTTGCCAGACAAAGGCAGACGCGAGGTCACGCCGACGGTGATCCTGGGGAGAACAGGTGTACCCGTCGAGGTCACGCATGAGGTCACAGGTATGGCATGTTTTCTCTTCTGAAATGATCGGGAATATGTGGTGAGGCGTACTTTGTTTTTTTTTCTGTTCCTTTTAAGTACGCACTCACTGTGCTTAAGAACTATTGCAGGCGTGGATAAGTACACATACACACACAAAAAACTGATTAAGAGTAGACTTCTGTGTCATTGTCGATTTTCATACTTACTTTTAATTGATTACTTTCTCTCCTGATATTGCTGGGATATTCATCCGCAGTAAATTTCAGTGTTTAAGGGATTTAAGCGAATTTAAGTTTTCTTAATTCTTATCGTATCTTGTAGCCGTTGCGACATCATTGAACAATTTATTATTAAATGAACTAGGAAAGTAAGTTATTTCATTTTTTCGTTGATTTCCATCTCAAGCCTTTTTAATCATATTTATGTTGACCGAAAACATTAGAATCCAACACTTATATTTTCATCAATATTTTATGGTTGTTTCTCGTTCATGTTGTTCATTTCTTTCCGTTCTTTGTCCACTTAATGGCAGTTTTATCTTGTGCAGTTGGTCCCTTTTTTAATCTATTATTTTTGAAATTTATGTTTTTTTTAGAAGAATCCGTTGTTTACCACTCTGTTTATGGGCAAGGGTTTAATGCACTTGATAAATGATCATATTGCAGGTATATCAGATTATATTACTTTTCGAATTAAGGAAACAACATTATTACATATTCCTCATACGTAAGTTTTTTTTTTTTTTTTTTTTTTTTTTTTTTTTGTATTTTATATGTTTGATTGATATAGCGTTATGGTAGTTTATGAAACATGATATTAATACAATTGCCTTGTATCTTATGGCACGTCAAATAAGTAGAATCATTACATAGTTCTTTGAACCTCATGTTTGACGACTCGAATAAAAGTATAAGTGCTTGAATAGAAGTATCACATGATATTCTCTGTCATGTGTATATGCAGTGTATTCTTCAACGCGACGTTAACTTTTACATGTTTACGATTTTATGATGCGAT